GCAGCATTAAAGTCAACAACTCTAGTTGACCTGGCTGCTCTCCACAACAAGTTTTTCAGGGCTAATCCCTTAAATGAAGCCCTAAAGTTTCCATATAAGTGTTGGACACAGAACCTGTGCTCAGAATCTGGCAGTATAGTTTCAATCGCATCTACAAGCCCTTTCTGTTTGTCTGACATTATTGTCCAAAGAAATGAATTCTCACCCAAATCTGCTTTCAACAGTTCAACAAACCAATGCCAAGTTTTTTTTGTTTCCTTTTCAACAACAGCATATGAAAAAGGATACATACAGTTGTTCCCATCAACCTCAACTGCAGTCAATAGAACACCACCACAAGTGGTTTTCAAATGGCAACCATCTAAGCATATAACCTTCCTACAACCCTTAAGCAAACCTTTTTTCAAAGATCCCCAACAAATATAAATTCTTTTAAACAGTGGCTCCCCATTTACAAGTTTGCTTTTAATTTGAACAGTGGTCCCAGGGTTGTTCTTTTTGATCTCTTCAGCATAAGACCAAAGCATAGCATATTGCTCACAATCAGACCCCACACCAATCTGAGACACATATTTTTTAGCCTGATACATTTGCCATCTATTGAAAACAATCCCTACTTCCCTTTGCATCTCTGCAATCATTGCCTCTACTGGCCATTTAGGATTATCTAAAATCTTATTTTTGTAAGTTTCAGCTATCCATTTTGGAGTAGCATGACTCACCTTTTGCTTTCTAGGACACTTATGCTTACCATTGAATGTCTTAACCTGCACAGTGTTTTCATTCTGAACTTTGGATGCATAAATGAGCCAAGGACATAACTTGTTTTTGCATCTTGCTTGCACCTTATAGCTCAAGTTAATTGTAAAAGACACTTCTCTACCTTGTGCAATTGCAAAATTCCTAACTGCCTTTCTAAACATGGTCAGATCAGGAAATTTCATGCCCAATTCAAACTGTGGATTTTGCATGTCTTTTTTATGATCAAAAGTTGGATGGGCACTTCTAGTTTTCTGCTTACCCTTGCTAGTTGCAAATTCAGCCCTATCATGTTCCTCTCTATTTATCCCTCCCCATTCAATATCTGCATCTATATTGCCCTCAAACATCCTATCATCTTCATCATACAAATCACAATCACTTTTAACAAACTCATCAGAAAAATCAGAGTCTGATCCAAAAGATTGGATTTCAAACTCACTGTCAGAATCACCCAAATTATCATCACCCAAATTATCATCATCATTTTGTTCTTGAGTCCAATTATCAATTAACTCATCTAAATTCTCCCCATCATCCCCTACAAAATCCAATGGTTCATCAACAGAAGGCAAGCAATCAGAAGGTAGACTAGCCATGTAGTCTTCCATATGTTCAACATATAAACCAACCATTCTGTTATCATCAATCCAATTAACAAGATTTATGGCATCCAAATTATTTTGCAATACAGACAAAGACCGGCAATCATTAACATCATTTTTACTGCAATGCACACACCTAACACTTTCTGCCCCAACTTCAGAAGCCATACAAAAAATTTCAATCAGTGAGAGCTCATCAGGGTCGCAGTAGTCAATGTGACTTACCCTAATGTGCTCACCAGTGTAGCATGTCTCACCAAGTCCCACAAATCGTCCACCATAATGAATTGAAATGGTAAAAAGTTGTGAACTTAGACCTGAAGGGGACAATGAGATTACACAAATCAATATCCTGGTCCATTCAGATGAAAATTAAATAGAAAACTCAATAAAAAAGTAAACAAATTTATCAATTTCGAAAAAGGGACCACATTTCAGACAACATTCACATGTTCATATTTGAATAATCAATTGATTGTCACCACTTTCAAACGGGTTGTCGCCACATTGAAAACGGGACCACATTATCACAAAACATGTTCACTGTTTCAAAATTTAAACCAAAATCAACATAAAAACAAAAAAATTAAGAATTAGGGTTACAAAAGTACAAACCGTAATCTGGGCAGACTCTTCCTGGTGGTATGTTCTCATCACTGATTCGCTTTTTTCAGACCATCACAACACTGCAATCAATTTGAATTTGCGAAGTGTTTGCCCGAAAATTTGCAGAGAGAGAAGTTCTTTTTTGTTTTTCGCAGAGAGAGAGATAGAACCCTAAAAATCGATTTTGTGATTTGAATTTCCAATTTGTGTGATATTTGGGGGAGTCCGATGGTCGCTCATCTAAAATGCCAATTTTACCCTCAAATATGGAGCGTGCGACTCGCACGCTCGCTTTTCCTGTAGAAAACGAGTGGAAAACGGTCGGAGGTTGCGATACAGGCAAAGCCGTGTATTAAAGGTTGCAATGTAGTAAAAAATTTTGTTTAGGTTGCAAATCCCAAAATCGCGATTAGTACATGTTGCATAAAATTGTTTACCCTTTAATGAAAATGTGATAAGCATAATATTTTTTTTTTTTTGGGAAAATCAAAC